ATTTACTCTTAAATAAAGTGATTGATTGTTTGATCGATTGAATGATCGGAAAGCACCCTCACAAAGAATAATCTTGTTGCATCAAGAATACTCCAAGTAGCATTTGTTGCAAAGTGCAAAAAGTGAGCAAAAGGCCCAAAACCTGGAGAATCCGACCACTCTTTTACTCTAACAAAAATTCACAACTGTAACTTTAAAAAAAGGGCTCTGAGTGTAATATTTAATTATAAGTGATTTTGCCAGATGTAAAGTAAAATGGACAATTGCGGTTGTATCTTGCGTAACTGTTCCACATACTCAATGTGAGGCTGCTTCTGCAGGAAAGAGTAGTAAAATTATTGACTTGTAATTTTTATTGCCAGACCGACTCGGATTCAGTTGTTTTTTAGTTGTAAAAGGATTACTGTGCAATCTGGGTTCACTATCGCAAGAGTTTTGGACTGTTAAAATTTGACCTGCCAAAAAACGGGTAGTGTCCGAGCAAAAGCATGTTTGACAGGACAACGTGACCAGTGACTGCCCATTAGTTATTTGCAGCCTGGCTCTTTATGCATTCACCATATATTAGAGCTAAAACATTTTCTCTAAATTAAAGATCAATCACTCCCACAGGTGTTTGTTGGAGTAAAGAGTTCACATTCAATTTGATAATTATTTCAACTCCTGTAGAATGATGAAGAGGATTACAGTTCTGAGGAAGAAACAGTTCATATCAATCACACTGAATTCTTGAATGGAGAGGTATTATGGTGGTTTGATTTAGTACTAGCTAACTAAAATTAAATGTAATTTTGATTTTTGTACATGGGATCTGGGAAGTAGTTACTGTAATGGCCTAATGGTGAGTGATCTGGACACCTGACCCAGATCAAAATTCCTGTTCCCTTAATTGTGTCTTGTGTTAGACAGTCAAACACTGAATGATGTGATCAAGTATTCCATTAAATAAGCATATCCTTTATTTCTCTTCTAATAAAGTGTGTCCACTTTTAGAGTTCATCTCTGATTGGTGATGAAGTCAGTCCAAGAAGCCTGCCGTCACCTCCCCCCTCAAGGATCAGCACAAGAGGCCAGGCAACATCAGAAGAATTGGTGGGATCAAATTTCAGACGGTCAGGCTCACCAACTGAATTAGCCCTGGTGCCTCGCAAAAGGGAGACTCGCATTCCTCATGTTCTTGGTGAGTCTTTCTTTATGGTATTTGCTCCTGTGGATGATGCAGCAAGAAGGTCTACTGTTTTGTGCATTCTGTACTGTGGATTTAAGTGGAATATTTGAGTCTCCGAGTGTACCAGTGTCGCATGAAAGCTGGAAAGAAGTAAATTGTTTAAGGCTTAATTATTATCTGTTAAAAGCCTTGGAATTAAATGAACTTGAAAATATCACTGACGATAACGCAACATCACTTAAAGTAGGTCTTTATTTTGGAAGATCATTTGTGTGGGTAAGACATCTAGGGAAAATGACATATAATATTGAGGACGCTGTACATTGTACACGTGTGTCTATTTTCAATTAACACAGCATAAGCATCTATTTGGTCTTAAATTGTATTATTTAATATATTTATTATAGATAAATATAAGGATCACCTTGAGAGGGTTCGGAGAGAGCGACATCAACAATCTTCAGTGAACAGTCTCACAAATGGTTTCACAAGCATGGAGCAGTCACAGCCAAGCTCATATGACCAGTCAGAAGTAATATCTCCAGACCAGTCTTGGTCCAGGTCACAGGATCAGTCAAGACCAAGCAACTCAGCAACACTCCAGAATGGAACATCATGGAAGCATTTACCATCCTCAAGCTCAAAAACCTTGGATCAGCAAGCAACAACATATGAGGGAGAATACCCTAAGGATGGGTATTTTGAAGGACCCATAAAAGGTCTTGATTCTGAAGTATACTTGCAATCAAAACCTGACTTGGTTCCTGCTGCCAGTGAGTTGTTTCTTTCTCCATGCCTGTTCTACTTATAGCATGCCTTTATTTGTTCTAATCAATGATGTTAGGATCGTGGAGGGAACAGAAACATTAATGACATATGAGTGGAAATACTTTCCCTAAATTTGTATTTGCTGTGAAATAATAATTTATATCTCAAAAAAACATGTTTGAAACATTAGAAGTACATATTAGTCAAAAATTTCTGTCAATCATGTTAAGTCATCCTTCAAACATGTAAAAACTGTTAGCAGCTTATGATGGTCAGATAAAGACTAAATAGGAATGAGTATATTCCACTAAAAAGTTTGCTGGAATAACACCAAATAAATCAATCAAATAAAATTTTTAAATTGTTTTCTACTCGATCCCTAGGAAGTTCAATGTTGCGTCGTTATGATAGTGACACATCAATCACAGACACTTCTTCAATGGTGTCTGGACCACGCTCATCAGTGATGTCAGGTCGTTCATCAATGATGTCCATCACACAAGGGAGCTATGCACCTGAGTCTTATATGACTGATGGTTATGAAAGTGAACCTTATCTCACCAGTATAGGAAGCTCAGCTTCTAGGGCTGTATTCAGGGATGGAAGAGATTCTCGTACAATGAGGTTAGACATGCAGGGTTTTCACTAAATTTTGAATTAGAGGGATATTGATGAAAAGGAGATGGTGTTGGGAATCTTGTCCTTCTGTCAATCTTGATCAGATTCTTGACTGCACTCAAGAGTAAAAGACAAAGTACACAGGCTGATGGAAGAGAGAGAGGGAAAATCAGGGTGTCAACTGGGATTTGTTTCAGATGGGAATAATCTTGTTTTGCTCCAGATGTTGTCATAGTAAATTGTTGCTCAAGAAATACCATTTGTCATCTTTCTGGAAATAAGATATCGCAGCATGTAATCAAGTGAATTGTCTCTACCCCATTTACAAAGCTTATCATTGCTCTCTTTTAGAACTTTCTTCTTTTCCAATTGTTGTTGGTATATTTCTTAGCAGCCGTCCATATTCTTCAACAATGGATTTGAGGAAACAAGTCATAACACAGCAAAGCTTACCAACTGGGACTGATGAAGTGGATCATAGTCGCAAGGTGCCACAGCGTTTCCTCTCTGTTCCTGACATACATGTCAGTGGTAATGCTCCAAAAGACAAAAAAGGGGCAAAAGGATCAAGAACCAAACTTGGAGTAAGTTAAAATAATAATTATGATGAAACTCTGATTTTGTACCCTTTTTTTATAAATTATGTAGGTTTTTGGGACAAGGGCCTGTTACTGCAAAGAGAAGTCTTTAAGCTATTTCTTTCTCCTGTTTCTGTTATTGATGTGAAAGATAACAATTACATGCACCACATGTAGACCGTACTGGACAGTCTGACCTGGTTGGATAAATGAAGGTTCTTCTTCACACATTCTCTAGTGATGCTGTTCATAAATTAAGCAGTTTCAATTGTATGTTAGGTTAAAATGAGTGCAAATTACTTTGAATTATGAAGCCGGAACAGAGGGCAAGAATCAACAAACTAAGTTGCACAGCACTAATAATATTGTATTTTACAAATTCTCTCCCTTAATAGGATTTCTTTGGTCCTGAGTTTGTCCTGGTTGAGAAAGATCCCAACCTGTCAGTTGTAAACATCTCACCTGTAAGTTATTTACAAGTCAGTCTGATTAAAACTTATAACAAAAGTAAATGATCCTGGAAAAGCACATAACTATAGATACTTGAAATAAATTATATATTTTTAGATCATTACAGTTTAGGCAAGTCACTGCTACTGTACGTGTCTCTGCGACAAACTGCTTTATTTTTATGTTTTATAAAACAAGTCAGTGCAACATACATGTATGTTTATTTCATATCTGTGACTGTTGCACAAAATGAGATCAGTTTGAAGTAGTGTGACTACACCTGTAATTTGTGTCGGGGACATAACTGCTCACAAAATTGCTGTCTCAAGAGTGTTGAAATCTCTGTAAAATGTCCCATTGTGTGTCCCATGCAGCATGTAATCAAGTGAATTCTCTCTACCCTATTAATTTGTCAATATTTTTGTTGTGGGTCAATTTGTTCTTTAGTTAAATTTGTTTCAAACTAGGTTAATTTGATCTCAACTTAGGTCAGTTGCTGATGTCTGTCTGTATGGTTTTTTTTTTTGGCTGTGTTGAGATGTCTGGAACCTGAAATTTTTTTTTAAATACAGTCAAACCTCCTGTAAGTGACCATCCAAAATGTCAAGTCTAGGCAACTGACCTAGGTTGAGATCAAATTAACCTAGTTTGAAACAAATTTACCTAAAGAACAAATTGACCGACAACATTAAATTTTTTTAAAATCATTTTTCTCACATTTGCATGGTGTTTAGAGGAAAGCAGGTTCTGTACCACATGGCAGACGATTAGTGACTGTGATTATGCTGAACAGACAAAAATTGCAGATGATGATTGAGGTACTGTTAGCATGTTTTAACTTCGTTTTAAAGTGACTTTGTCTTGTCAAACAAAATGAATGCAACAAAGCTAACTTGTATATGAGCACGATCCTTCGCAGTAAAGCACTATTTGAGCAATAGTGAAAAATCGATCCTTTACGTCTCATAACCGCAGTTCACACATATGTTTCATATGTTTGTTGTTGTTTAAAGCTAACTTGGCAAAAAAATATATAAAAATTAATGTTGTTAGTTAAGTATTGTGAACCATCTTTTCAGGTGACATCTACCACTCAAGACTTATTTGACCAAGTTATCAAGTACTTAGGATTGACAGAAAAGTTCTTTTTTGGTTTGACTCAACAACAAGGTGTGGGTTGGTATTTAAACCTAGTAGGGGACTCATGTCCTATTGTTTATATACCAGTACTTTGTACAAATCCTTAAATAAATAATAATAAATAAATAAAAAGAATAAATAAAAAGAATTCCAAAAATGTCCCTATCAAAAGGAGTTTTGTTGTTAGAAGGCAGAAATATTAGGCAAAGTGTTGTGTAAATTTGGTTACATAATATTGTTTTGTATTGTAGTAATTTGACAGGTTACATTACCGACCACTGATACAGTGTAAGCTTATTGACCAGATAAACTTCACATTAAACTCTGAACAGCATACAATGACATAATGTAACATGCTAGCGGACTGTGCACTGGTTTTGCAGGTGGTGAACACATCTTTTTAGATTTGGATGTAAAGTTAGCCAAGTATGCTCCAGCAAAGTGGAAAGAAGAGGTAAAAATTTAATTTGTGAATGTTAATAACTGATTAGAAGCTTGCAACCTAACTAAACAATTTTTTTTTAATTTTCTAGGGAAAACAACCTACAGAAAAGTTTCTCTTACACTTTAGAGTCAAATTTTATGTGGAAAATGTTGCACTCATCAGGTAATGCCTGAAACAACTCTATGCTTAATGTATGATTTCCTATTCCTTTAAATAGAATGACTCATTTTAAAGAGATATGAAGCATTTCATTTTTGGTTTATTTCCCAAACATTTTCCCTTATGATTAGAATCAGTAGGTGAAAATTTACTTCCAAAACTTGTTCAATTGAATTTTTTCCTGAGCATTTGCCTTGTTTTTTTTTCTTCCTTCTTTCTTTCTTTCTTCTTTCATCCTTCTTTTCATTCTTTTTTCTTTCTTTCTTTCTTTCCTTACTTTCCATCCTTCCTTCCTTCCCCCCTCCCTTTATTTCTTTCTTCCTCCTTCCTATGTTTGTTTTAGTTTTGTTTTTCCATTTTCAAACATTTACCACTTTTAAACTTGAAAATGAGGAATATGGTGAAATTGGTTACTCTGACCGGTAAAGATGTGCACAGGATTTTTAATTTGCCCTTCAGAGCACCAACTAAATGATGAGACCAATTAAATCTGGGCCAAAGGATAGGGTGTAGTGAACTCCACATTCTTTGAGTTCATTACAATAATAGTACATGTATCATCTTTCCACTTCAGTAATCCACAGACAACTCATCAGTTCTACCTACAACTGCGTGAAGACATTTTGAGGGGTCAGCTTTACTGTCATGAGGAGGCATCCTTTAACCTTGGAGGACTTGCGCTGCAAGCAGAGACAGGAGACTATAATGGTGCACTCCGTGATGAATACTTCCTTGCTGAACATTACGTTCCAAACAAGGTACAAATAGTTGTTAGTTTTGTGCATTATTCATATGACTGGACAAAGTGTGCTATGGGTAACACTAGTAAAGGCAATTTTCATCCAAGGTTAAAAGTTATCTGGGAGTGTTTTGGTTTTGTGTTACTACACTCTTTGATTGGTTATGAAATTTCGAACAGCCTTCTCAACCAATCAAGTACAAATCTGAAATCAATCAAAGTTGGATCACTCAACAGCTTTGTTAGGGCATTAGTTTTTCCTTTATTTTGGTTAGTTCTTGACTCTACTTTTGTTTTGCTTTTTTACGACACTTGATAGGAAAGTGCACTGTACTTGTTCTCTTGCTGATTTCTGCAATCATTATTGTGTGAGTGCATACTGATTGAGTGTCTGAAAACTAAAAAGTCATCAAACAAACCTAAAGTTAACCTTAGTTGAATAAAATATGAAACTTCTAAGGGTTATACCAAGAACTATTCATACTTTCTTCTGAGCATCCAAAACACTGTTTTCTGTTCTAGATGATAGAGAAAATTTCACTTGATCATGCTACACAAGAGTTACCACGTTTTCACAAATCATGTCATGGTTTGTCAGAAGAAGAGGCTGAACTTGAATTTATAAAAGAGGCTCAGAAACTTCAAGAGTATGGAATCCACTTCTACAAAGTACAAAGACAGATACCTAACACAGGAGGAGGAAAGGTAGAAAATGTACTGGTAGTTGTAATAAGAGTGATATTTTTAAGTACAGTTCTTGATAACTTAGTGTCTACATTTTGAGATTTTGCAAAAGTTTGTCATTACCCAGTCAAATACTTTATTACAAATAAACTGCACGTACATCTTCAAAAACAATTAAATGTAAGTATAAAAAGTTCATAAGTTTGATGGGTGCAGGGAGTACACAAGTGCTTCCACTGTGTCTAGTGAGCTTCCTAAAAAATCCATCCTGATGGCTGGTAAATATCTGCGACCTAACCTTGATCCCCTCGTTTAAAACACTCATCAATGTTGATTTGATCAGGTGAAGGAAAAATTTAAGAGGATAGGACAGGATGTGGTGAGAGAAAGCAGAATAATGTATGCTTCAAACCACTTAATATGTGACTTTTGAAAAAAACAATACATCTCAAAGGTAGAGGGTTTCTTTATTGCAGTGGTATTTTTACTGATCATTTGACTGATTTGAGTCATTTTGTTGTTTAATTTAGTCAAAGAAGAGTAATAGAGAGTCAGTGTGGCTTGGAATATGTGTCCGTGGAGTCACTGTTTATGAGGTAGTAAAAATAATAGTTATGAGGAATTTTTTCTCAGCATTAATTTTTACATTATTTTTTAATTACAAATTTTAGTCTTTAAGACAGCATAATTACGTGTATTTTAGCAGCTTCTTCCTGGCTTCATTCCAGATCATTCTTCTATATGGACTTGACTAATCAAAACGTGTTCAATCAATTAGTAAACTGAATGTTATTGAAATTATTATTAAACACTTTGAGGTTAAGTGTAATGTTTTTTTTTATTCATCTGTTCCATTCCCCAGGCCCGTGGACATATGAAATTTCCTGTTAACAGACATTCGTGGCCATTTACAAAAAAGCTCTCCTTCAAGGTGTGTATACTTGTTGTTCTTTTCTCCTTTGATTTTTTGTTTCTCTTTTGTACCAGTCTTAATATTATGGGCTCAGAAGGGTGGGGGGTCTGAGTATCCCAATATCCCAGAATCTCTAGTCTAAGTATCCCATGTCATGTTAATTTTTTTCTTGAGTACCCAGTGTCCCTATACTTTTTCACCCAAATATCCCATATCCTGATAGCTCCTAATAGAGCCTCTATATTAAGAACAATTGAAGTTACTTAGTTTTGTCAGTTGAATGCAGAAATAAGCTTGTAAAAGGAAAAGGGCCAAACAACCTAAAACCAGAGAGGTTTAGTTGTCTAGGTTTTATTTTTCTCTCTTGATTCATCCATTCATTACCATTCAACAATAATGCACCATTAAGCAGAAAGATTGGGAGAGAAGACAGAAAAAGATCAACTAAGGTTTGATTAAAAATCAAATTCTTGGTGTTCAACTTTTCAGAAATGTTCTGTTGGTAGTTAAGAGAATTGATATCAAGATCTATAGAGGGAAAGGCTTAAAAGTGAACTTACACCAAGAGCACTTATATTGGAGAGTAATTTAACACTATTTTTAGGGACATTGGTTTAGCTTTGGACCAGTTTGTGTCTTTAACTTTGTATCATGAAGAATAAAAAATTATCTTTGATTACTTTTTAAAATTTCTTGTGTCTTGCAGAAAAAGAAATTTTTCATAGAACCAAGGGAAAATCCTGATACACTTAAGATGACATTTTACACAGATCATTATAAAAAGTAGGTGGCTTTTTGAACAGAGTAGTTCATATGAAGTTGCAGGAGCAACTGCTCTTATTGGGGCAATTCTAATGTCACACTGCAGATATCACACATAAATACTTGAACAAATGGCTAGTTGACTTCTTCCGAGATGGGGACTTATGTCTGGGTGGCTAGAAATTGACTGTTGGGGCAGCTGTCTCTGTTGTTGAGGCTGGTTGCCTTACTGTAATCAATGGGATGTATTAGACACCCTTACTGACTGTAATTAAACTTGTTATATTTTACAGGTCCAGGTATCTTCTTCAGATGAGTCAAGCATTTCACAGGTTTCAGATGAAGATGAAGACCAAAATGTCTATCTTGGATCAAGAAATGTCTCAAAGTGCTGTTGGTGTGTATGAAATAGTGAGATAGGTTGTTTCTGATGCTGGGGATTTGCAGGATTCCTCCTCTGGTAGTCTCCCCCTCCCCCAAAGTAATAATTGATAAGTAACTAGTTAAAAGTTAACCAAATTCTGATTATTGATATTTCAAATAATGGAGTAAATAGTTGTGCATGAATTTGAAATGGATAACTTTGTATCTTACACAGTTCAGATATTGAATTTTTTAATTAAGGGAAATCAAAGGCTTATCTCACATCTTCAAAATTCCTGATTAATTTTGTCTTTCTGTTATAGATGAGTCACAAGCCAGGGTTGATAATGGCTCCACAGATGTATATCATCGCCCACCATACATGATGGCACGGGAATCTTCTAAAGAACAGTCAGAACCACGTGCTGAGAATACTCATGAACGTCAGAGGAGTTTGGAAACCAATCGACTGCCCGATGACAATCTGAGACAAACTTCACGAGACCCCCAGAATGAAAGGAGGCGTTACTCAACAAGCGATGAATCAGAAGACAGCACAATGTACCAAACACAGCAGAAACACACCCTGCCTGAGGGACTCTCAATTTCATCATCTCAACGGCAGTTCTCTCAAGATGTGGATGATGAGAGAGATGTTGATATGCCTTACGTCATTGGTCAGTTTAAATTGGAAAACAAGCTTTATCTTGAACCATTTTTTCTTAACAGGGCATCGACATTTTGTTCTAAGAATCAGGAAAATACTAGTAAAATGAAGAGGAAGTCAAATTTAAAAAGGGCCTTGTCATCCTCTTCTCTTCCCAGTCGTTCGCTGAGCAATCCATGTTCTGTTATATACGAGGAAATAGCATTGTAATACATACAAAATAGTCTTTTAAAAGTGGGTTGAATTTGTATTAGGCCTCAGCAAAATTGTTTTCAGTCAGATAAAACATGTAAAGCATTTTTTTCACAGGTACTATTTTGTTCCTTCAGTGAAATAATTTTGTTTAACTTTTTTGAGGCACTTTTTAAGTGCAAAGCCTTGTATTGATGTCTATGTCTTTGTTGGTGGTAATAATAACAATAATTTTATTATTTCTATAGTTCAAAATCCATTAGATATATGATCTTGTTACCTTGAGAAATGCAAAGTAGTATCTTAAATTCTCTAGGAATATTACAGCACCGTTGTGCTAGAGTCTTCATTCTTTTATTCGTTTCTATAACTAAACATTCTAACTCATGCTCTAACTGGGAATGGTGTTAGTTACTAAACTTGTCTTGTTTTGACTCTGAGAGGAACAATCAGTCGCACAAAGGTTTCATTGCAACCTTGTACACATGCATGACTTCCAATAATTCACAAGTAACAACTTAAAGCATAATCAAAAAGGAAACTTGTTCTCTTAAGGGCAACTTTTTCCTTCTCTGCAAGAGGTGCTCAAGATTGTGAGCTAATCTTATCTTTAGGCCGCTAATTTAAGATTGTAATACTTCTTTTGGGTGCTGTGTTGAGTATGTCTGACTGCCAACAGATATTTTTTGTGTTAATGGAGAGGGTGGTGAAGTGCTGTCTTGTAATCATGTCAATACCACTAAAACTGTTCTTCAGCATTCTATAACTCTTTCTAAGCTGTCGAATGATATTAAATTTCAATCTCCTCTGTTGTGTTTCAAAGTAAAATTCTTCTTTGCCACAATACCTAACCTGCTGTCTCTTGCTTTATCATTTGGTACAGTGCACATTTAATTTTTTCACCTTTATAAAAAAGTTTGTCCATATCTGTGTCCTCTCTTGGAAATAGCTGTGCCCTTTGATCTCTTTGCTATTACTGTTACCTCACAATCAGCATATATATTCACATTAGGATTTCTTTTTGCTATTAGTTTGAGTCGAGATCTCTTTTGCCTTCAAATTGCATTCTTCCTATTTGTGCCCTAAGACTGTTTCTCATTTCTTTTAAGAAAAAGGGTCCCCACTAGTTCAATATCATTCATTTAACATACATGAGGTACCTTTCTGAGTGTCATTAGAAATTGACTATAGGAGCTTTCTCTAGCTACTGAGCAAAATTTTTCCATATGAGTAGTGATCTCATGGCATTGTGGCATGATTATTCCACATAAGGTGCCTCCTAGTAAGTCATAAGCCCCTTGCATTCTGTTTCTTCCATTCCACGATATTAGATGGCCATTTCCTCTTTTCTCCTTTGGTGTCCAGTGCATGGGGGTTGTCTTGGTAGAGGCTTCTTGGAGGGAAACTTGATCATCTCACATCCCTTGCCCACTAATGAGCGGCATTCCTGCCACATTCTTCCTTATTTGTTTTATTTCCTTCTCCCTCATCTGCCAACAAAACATCTTTGACAGCCCCCTCCATCAATGTTTTCTTCTGTACAGTGTTCATTGGTTTGAGTGATGGAGGCTCAAAGGAGAGAGGTGGAATTTTTCCATATCACATGCCTCCCCCTTAAGATTTAGCCTTTGTAGCCACACTCTACAAAACAGGAATTTCAGAAGTTGTTATGCAATGTGAAATTTCATTTTGTAATAACTTGTCTTGAGTGTTGTCCCAAGATGTCCTACCTCACTCTCTCACCTTTTTGTCAAGCTTACTATTGTTTCTATCTTGTGAGTGGTTTTAATCTTAATTAAGTTTTTACTGTACCTGTCAAATGATGCCACTCTGTTGTTTTGTGTATTTTTCTGCTATTCTGATCTGAAAATTTTTAAGCAGTTAATATATCTATTACTTCTGCATTTTAACAAAACAAAGCAAAGCAAATATTTTAATTTGTTCATGACAATTGCTACCACTTTTTTTTTTGGTTTACAAACAGGTTATTTGCTAACAAATCACAAACTGAGAGACAAATTTAATGATCTTGAATTTAAATGAAAAACATGATTGTGAATGAATCATTAACAGTGGTATCACTCTTTGTAACCTGTTATTGGCAAAGTCTGCTCAGGATTTTTTTTTCTAACTTGGAGAAGCCAATAATAATAGAAAGATTCAATTTCATGCTGCCTATGACTGTCTTTTTTTTCCTTTTTTTTTTTTCTTTGATTTTGAATTGATATGCAATCAGTTTCATAAGTCTCGTTGTTCTATAATGCTTCTCAGCTCAAATAAATGTCTACTTAATCTACTAGGTACATACTGAACTGGCCATAACAGTGTGCAAAACAACATCAATTTTCAATTCTCTGCTGAAGCTTTAATCAATTAATTATTTTCTTTTTAATGAGAATTTCCATGAAATCAAGATCTTTAAAACCATTGACATACAGATAATGAACTTTTATCAGTTGATGATGGGAGACGAGTGAGATGACCATGACAGTTAAGATCTCTTTTGATTTCCTATCTCAGATAAGAACACTCTTTAATTTTGAGCTGGTCAAATTGATAGAACATGATTGCACGTAGAAGAAAGGTTGTCCGTTTTAAACTGGTTCAAGAGAAAAAAACTTGTAACAGACAAAGAGGTAGCATGAAGTATTACTTAAAACTAGAATTCTCTCCAACTCAAAATTGATTTTCATCAGGATATTGTAAATGTTGTGGAGTCATTTCTTTGACGATAGTACTAACAATGATGTAGGGTTCAGCTTGTTAGCTGTTATTTTGGTGCATTGCTAAATGTCAAGCATGCTTTAGATTTGATTTGAGCCTTTTACTTAAGAAAAGGAAAGATAGCAAGTGCTTGATTTACAAGGAAATTTTGAGAGTATTTTTCGGTTTGTGGAGTATTTGTATTGTAACTGAGATTATTTTGTCACTTATTCATTTGCAAATAGCCTCTCACGCTGTGTTACTTTATAATAAGCACAAGGTGAATAATCTACACTCTGTTTCTTATTTTTTCACTTGATTTCTGAATTTTTGAACAAAATATTTATTAGTGATCACACTATGAAAAGGATCTTTCAATTTGGCTTTATGAACAGCAGACTGAACTATGACTTTCCTTTTATCATGACCTTTCTTGTTACAGTTCCAGTAATATTTTTTGTTTCTGTAATTGGTCCAGTGTTCTAAACAGATATTGCTTTCTTGGAATAATCTTTCATTGCATCTTTGTGTTCAGTTGCAACATTCTCAGAAGGTTTAGCATTGTTTTCTTCAAATTTGGTTGTGATATCTTGTGTATTGATCAGTGTCTTTAATTAAAAGTTCACTCAGAACACACCTGCTCTTTTCTCAAGCTGTGTGAAGTCTGCTTCCTGACCTAAAACTGTCCAATTTGTAATGCTAAAATCTTCTCTGTTTTCTCTGATTGTGGACTTTTTGTGTGGTTGTGTGTGGGATCTGCTCTTGGTTTTGACAATGTTTCATTTATTTCTGAAATTTCTAGATTCCACCCTAAACTCCCAGAAGCTGAACAAAGTGATAAGCAGAGATTTGTCTGTTGAAGCACAAGGTAAGATTTGGTGATGTATGTATAATTTGCATCTGTTTACAGACACTTTAAGCTGTCACTTCTGGTCTATCTTGATGTTAAACGGAACTAAATTTCAGTTGTTGTCCAGTACATTTGGTGTAACTGAAACAAAAATTTCTGGCTTCTCTCTTCATGTATTACTTTCTTGAAAAAAAAAAATCCTTATAACAATTAATAATGAGTCTGTTTTTAAATCACCTCATCACGAGAAGATCTTTTTTGAATTTTATTTTGGTCTTTGTTTTTATTCTAATTTGTTTCTTTTTTTCCCAGGTATGGCACAAAATACTTATAATTGTATTTATTTGGGGTTCAAATACTTTAAAATCTAAAGGTTTACTATATTTTGGACTGATCATTTTTAAATCTAGTGTGGAAGTTTTTTCTTGTAGAAAAATAGAAATCTTTGTCTGGTTTAATTGCTTTTGACTGTTGCCAAGTTGATTACATTGTTTTTCCATT